CCATAGCAGTGGAGAATAGAGAGGAAGTCCATGATTTATTGGCTAAAGTCGCTGAGAGGAACTCTGAAGATGGGGAGAAGGTGTTACAAATGGATAGCATGAACTTCAGTAGAAGACAGGCTATTAAACGAATTATCAAGTTCTCATGTTACCAACTTTACTTTAATATCCTCTATAATTTTTATAGATAATCTTGGCCCAAAGATGCATTTGGACTCAATTATGGAAAAAAGGTGAGAGTTTAACTATTCTACATAAAATCCTGGTAGCAGACAAGCTATTGAAAACACATGTTAATTAATTTCTGAGTATAAATGAGTCACTGATAAATGACATCTATACTTGAAGTGCTACCAGCTGAAATTATTTATGGTAATTCTCATCTATATATGAGGCTATCTATACATAAGGGTGTCAAAAGAGGTTTTAGTTAATTTGTGTAAAACACTCAATGTACTGTTATTGCTCCACGTGTTTTCTGAGAAAAAAAAATCACCATCTGCTAATAGAGAGAGATTCAGGAAATAAAATTATCTTATCACAATATCTAATTTTTTAGAATTATGTAATTAGACCCTGAGGATTACTTAGATTTGTGTGGTCCAATTGAAATATAATATGAACCATAAATGCAAGAAATACCTGTAGTTTAAAATTTTCTAATAGCCATATTCAGAAAAGTAAAAAGAGGCCAAATTAGTTTTAATAATATATTTTATTAAAACAAATATATCCACAATATTATTATTTAAACTTTTAATCAATATAAAAATTACTAGTGAGATATATTCCAGTCTTGTTTTCATACTAAGTCTCAATTTGGACTTACTACATTTCAGGAGCTCTATAGCTACATGTGGCTACCATATGAGACAGTGAGGAGGTGCGCCGTGACTTTCTGAAGGAGCAACAAAGTTGTTATACTGGTCTAGACAAACACAAGTTTTAACTTAATACTAAATATGCAACTTCTTCTCAAACAATTATGTCAATAATTTCTTCTGACTTGGATGTGTGTGCATATGCATGTCTGAGTACAAATGTCATTTTACTATTTAATGTTTCTATAAATAGGCTGTTACCACAACAGCCTTGCAAAATTTAGGATTTATATTGGTTCAATAAGCAGGCATATTTATAAGACTTCAAATAATAATACAATGCACTGTCAAAAATAAAGATTGAGTAGTTGCCCAGTAACATATTTCCCATCTACATATCCAAATTATCTAGGAGCCACCCTTTAACATGATAAGTACCAAAGGCAAAATTTAAATGTCCTAGTAAAGACAAAGAAGCATAACTTCAAATTTCATATGAGAAAAAAACCTATTACTAGCTCTTGCTAAGAAATCATTTGGGTAATTTTGGTGAGTAGCCTCTCACAGCATGCATCTTCTCTTGGCCAAATAAACTACAATTAATCTAATTAATCTAATTAATTGATTATAATAATAAATGATGCATTAGCACTGAGTTCTTACCTGATGGAAATTTTCATCATTATATATATTTAAATTTAGTATTTATTACTATGGTTTTGCAGTGAAACTCTGTTGCTTTTTTTTTTTCCTAGATTGAAATTACATTAGTGTCATTATGGCAGCAATCTTCATGCTGACACTATTATAAACAAAATAGAAAGGTATGATATTCCATAATGGAGGTTAAAAGTGACATCTGGCTTCCCTGAAAATGAGAAATCCCTCCCATTTCCACAAGATCAATTTATCATTTGCTGAAAGCAGAAGAAAATTTGTGAGATTATTAGTGACTTAGAAAAATGTCCAAGTAATGCAGATGATTCATTTCCCTAAATACACTAGAAATTATCAATCTATTTTGGTATTGAAATTCTTCAAACTGCCAAAAAATTATTGTTATTTTATCAATTACAGACTGCCAATTTAAACACGGCAAACCTAAAAACAGCTTAGGAATAAGACATGACTAGTGAAACAATTTAAAATCTTGTGATAAATATTTTATCAAATATTATTTAACACCCAATTCCCCTTAGTAAATAAAACTATGCTATGGATTTGCTATTTTTGTGATTATAACAATATTGAAAAAAAATCTTACTATAATTCTACAATTTAAAGTTATCTTAGGCATGAGTTATCAATTTTTTTTTGTTCTTGAATAAATGACTTTATTTTTTCAATTTTTTAAAATTTTTGAATTGAAACATGATTGATTATACATAATTATATGGTACAGAGTTGACTATCAGTATTTATGTACATATGTGATGATCAAATCAATATTATTAGCACTTCATCATTACAAATCATGACTATTCTTTGTGTCCCTTACCCAATTACTTCCTAACCCCCTCCCCTTCTCCCTTTTCTACCTCTAGTAACTATAGGACTGTTGTCTCCTGAAAGTTCAAAATTTTATTGTGGTCCTTCCTGTCTT